TAAGAAAACAGGTCCTTTCTTTTCTATAACCCAAGATTGCAAATAATATGCTACGCCTGTTACAATGAATCCCTGCAATGTCACGTTTTATATTATAAGTATAAGAGTATTCGATTTCTAGTATGGAATTAATATTGTTATGAAATGGATTAGAGTTAATTAATTACGCAGTAAATGACTGCTATGAGTCTCAGGTTCCAACCAAGCTTCCATGCTGAAATATCTCTCTCGAAAGCAATCGCGATGACGAATGACTGAATCGAACTCAATAGACAATGAAGAGTTGTGAAGTAAAGCTTCGAAGGGTAGACCTTTAATACTCGACCCTGGTTATAAATATGAGTCAAATTTTATTGACACAATCACTCAAATAGCATATAAAATTCAAGAATTTTTGTAATTTACTATCAACTAGTATTTGACCAGTATAAATTTAAGTAAATTCACGTGTGGGCATGTCTTTATCAATAGTTTGTTCCGTTGATAATCAATCGTAATAATAATTCCCAAAAAGTCATTGTATAATAATTTATCTTATTATATAAATTTAATATAAATTAATTAATCGTAATAATAATTCCAAAAAATTCACTGTATAACAATTTATTTCCTTACGTAATACTTTACATAATAATAAATCATGTCTTATTATTATAAATTTAATATAAATGAATTAATCATAATTAATCGTAATAAGAAATCATGTCTTATTATTATAAATTTAATATAAATTATGCAAATTATTTAACCGAGAAATTCGTAGATTGAAATATCGAGTTTGGAAGATACAAAAGGTTGTTGTGACTCATCCAACATAGCTAAGTATTTTTGTCACATTCAAAGCATAAATGACCAGTTTTCATTGGAATCATGATGGTAAGACTCAAATTTTGACCTAGACTGGCATAGACGACGGATACTTAACAATTAAATTACGTGTAATATAATAATGTATTATGTATGAAGCAATTTGATCTAGCAAGGTACCTGCAAAACGAGCCAGAGACCCCATAAAACGTTGGAGGTGACCATGAGAACACAACCTTTGAGCCACGAGGTGGAACCACCAGAACCATGGTCATGATGATGTTCTTGACCACCGTGATAGAGGTGAGGGCATAAAGGTAGTTTCAGTAGTGGACCTTTGTAAAGAGCTAAGGTAATTACACCTCCCATGCACACAGTTATTCCCACAAGCTTCGCTGTTCCTTGGATGCTCTTAATCTTAAGCGTCTCCATTCTTTTAATTTCATACAGAATAAATAAAAATGTTATAATCTTTAACAAAAAAAAAATGTTATAAGAAGTATAATTAGAATTAAATGTGTATAGATAAATTTTTATGTATACGTATGTATTGTAAGTATATACCCAAGAAAGAGAGCCAAGAAGAATGTGATGGCCGGAAGTGAAGCTGTTGTGGCGGCGGCCAAAGTCGCTGACGTGTACGATAATGCGATTCCGTTTAAGTCCAAACTTAATGTCCCACTGAAATCACCACACATTGATAAAGTTTTAACTGATAATTAAAAATATATATGCACAATTCAATTATAATATGTACAGTATATAAGTCTTGATTGCTTTTCGCATTCCAGCTTTAGGGGTTTATGGTTTTCAAAAAAGAACTTAAATTTTGAATCTCTTTTTTTTCCAAAAAGGAAAAAACAATATATCAATGCAAAACTCACAAAGAAGAACAAAATATATTCTCTTTAGTACAATTATTATAGTTTTTTAGAATGCTTTATTACATCTTATCAATATACACAAGAAGATGCAAATATTTGCATTACCACCAATCGATTCGTACTATTATAGATTTTTTTTCTTCCCGCTTTGTATTGCTTATATTACAATTTGATGAAAATACGAATAGATTCTGATTGTTTCACTTTAAATAGAAGTAAATCATTTTAACATATATACTTTTTTTTTTTTAGAAACGTAACAGATATACTTCAACAAAAGAAAAATCACAGCAAATGAATCCTAAAATGTACTTGTAGAAGACATACCCAAATAAAGAGAGCATGAAGATCTTGATGAAGGTCACGAATGAAAGTGGTGGAGCACTTTTCCTAAAGACAAAAAAAGGAGAATACAATTAACAATTACAGAAAAGCGTACAAGAATTATTGTACAAACATATCTATATGTGTGTTGTGTACTTGTGTATATATATAGTGAAAATTACATAGAGTCTATACCGTTCAAAGAAGAAAGCGAGAGGAGCCAAGAATATGGTAGCGAAAGCTTGACGATAGAAAACGAAGACGAAAGTGTTCATTCCACCATTGAAGACAGCTTTGGAGACCAGGAACATGATTGCATATATGACTTGTATTACAACCACCACCATGTATGGTTTATTCGTCTCCATGTCCATTGATCGATAGAACTGATGA